GGGGTTGGCGGTGGTGTCTGAGACGGGGTTGCTCAGTGGTGTATGACATTTCCTGTGGCTGGCCTAGATCTTTGTCGGTGGAGGAGTTTTCAGTAGAAGCTTCTCGGTTGGCTATTGGGTGTTTTTTTGGGTTTCGCTGTTGTGGGGCCTCCTTTTTTCTGTTGACTTCGGACCTTTTCTGTTTGTGTATAGTTGTAGTTGAGCCTTTGGTTTCCTTGTACTTTTGGGCTTGTTGTTTTAATAAAAGTTGAGGGAGTTTTGACTGTAGTTTTGCTACAGTCAAACTTTTTCCAAACATAAAAAAAACAAGTAAAGTTCAATAGTTTGAGAAGAAAAAAACTGAAGCTCCTTTAATACCCATAAAGTGAAAACTAAATACTAAATTTTGAAATCTCAAAAAGAAGCTTTTAATTTTTCAGGTGGTGACTGCTTATAAGGTTAGGGGTAAGCCCTCAACGTTGAAGGTAGAGGATTGGGATTGGGTTGTGGTGGTTTTCTTCTTGTTGTGATTTAGTAAGTGGAAATTTTCAGTTCTAAGGTTTTAATTGCACTAAGAAATTGTTATCTTGGTCATTGAGATTTTAGCTTTTTGAATTTCTTTTATGTGACCTTTGAAAGCGCATTCTAGCTGATATGGATTGTGTTGTTTGTGTATGTTGTCTTGTGATGCAGTTATGGGGTTTTTCATGTGATTCAAAGATGATAATGTAGAGTCAACAAAGATTGTGAACCCGTGGAATGTGAAGATCATCTCGGTTCGTTGGTAGAATTTATTTGATTTAATGTGCTACTCGTAAAAGTTCCACTGAATTATGCTTGTAGGAAAAAACAAATTAATTGTCTTAATTTGCTGCTGCGATGGAAAAAGATCATCTCGGTTCGTTGGTAGAATTTATTTGATTTAATGTGCTACCCGTAAAAGTTCCACTGAATTATGCTTGTAGGAAAAAACAAATTAATTGTCTTAATTTGCTGCTACGATGGAAAAAAGATGGTTCCCTTTAATTTATGCTTGTAGGAAAATCAGAATGATTCAACGTCAATGGTTTGTTAGACCCCTGGCACCATTATGCACACAAGTAGTTAATTAGTTACCGCTTCCTTTGTGATTTAATTATCTTGATTTGTATCGCTACAATGAAATAGGATTGTTGTTATTTACCTGTAAGAATTTCACTGTATCGAATATGTATATTTACCAAAATAAAAAGTAAACGGGATGGGGGGAATTGCTCGTGAATTTCTAAGATTGGTCTTGATTGTATCATGGTTTGCACAAAATTGGTTACCTATGTTGTGAAGCCTACGTACCAAATAATTTTCACACACCGTATCATTATTTAAGATTTCCATAGAAAAAGGAAGACACACTTGTTATTGCAAATGGAAACTCTTTTTTGTTAATAGCTTGTCTTATATGAAAGTGTTCTCTCATGGTTTTATCACTTATCCTGTGCTTCTAACTGCATATTCCTTGTTTGCAGTGATATGCCTCTCAGAGTGCTTGCCAAGTTTATTGGAGTTCAACTTGTTAACTTTCATATTCAATTGTATATCAAGAACATTGTACCTCTCATTGGTAAGCAGAGCTGCAGTTTTTTCTTTTTGCTTCCCAAATTATTTGCCGACCTTGTGTTTGCAATAACTTTAATTCTTGCACTGTTGCAAAGGCTTTGATGTTTGAATTTGATGCGGAGAATAGGGGTGGACAATGGAGATCTTCACACAACCTACACTGGAAAAGGAAAAGGGAAAGGAGACGACACTGAAACATTAATGTGTTACCAGTAAGAGTTCCATTGAATTAGATACTTTTAATTCCTAGTCGGTAGGTGGACATGCTTCTGTTTTAATTTGAGCCTCTATGCAAAGGACTAAGAGTAGAGCTGCTGCAAGGAGTGACATAATTTACTGGCAGGGTTGAAGGGAGGAAGTTAGTTATCGAACTAAAAAGCCAATTTGGAATGACATAATTCCTGTAGGATTATAGATGGTATAAATGTTCAGGATAATGTATATATGTTTAAATACTAGAAGTCAAATACATTCTTCATTCTCGAAGCAACCAAATAAATTATTATTTATTTGTAAATTATGAATAGTATCAGTGAGGTTGGATTGTTATTTTAGTTTGGAACCTATAGTAATTTCACATGAAATAATTTTGGTGAAGCTATTAAAAATAATGTCGTTGTGGCGTCCCATTTGATGCCCAATTTTTTATTTTTTTTAAACCCGAGGCCACTTATTTGTGATGCAACCCGTGTAAATAGTATTTGTGATGCACTCAAAGCGTCGCATATAATCGACCAAACATTTACGACACCACTTTGTTATAATGCGTTTTGCTACTTTTGTAACGCGTTTTGAGCTTTCCATAAGACCCATTTTTTTGTAGTGTACGTTAGGAAATTTGTATAATTTTTGGGCAGGGTGGGTATGAGTACGGTGGTGGTATAGGGGACAATGGTGAGGTGGGGAACAATGTTACACTGCATCAGGATGTTGCACTGCATGAGGATGGGTTTTGACATCCACTATTATTTCACGGCCAGACCTAATCTTTTTTGGGGGTCATATATCCAGGATGTTCCTTGTCAGGACAAAGGCTGGTATAAAGACGTCTTGGTTACCGATGGAGATTGGAAGGGGGAATATAAATTGAGTAAGGATTAGAGCTCTCTCTCCTCACAATCTAGAGTTTAGTGACGAGTTGGTAGGTATGGAGGTATGTTGTTCGAAATTAATTCATTGGGCAATGCAAATTCCTGTCTTGCATTGCAACTGGAAAGGGTTAGACCTCTCACTCCTCACAATCTAGAGTGGCTTCTCTTACCTAAACGTTTCACTAATCGTGGAAAGGATTCAGCCATCAATGACCGTTCAAAATTTCCCATACCGAAGCCGAAATGGGTGGAGGTTCGAGTCGCTCATAAAAAGATTCGTTTTTCCAAGTTACAGGCTGCTTCGCCTTTTGGTCTGAATAAATGAAAATGACTTAGCAGCTCTTCTTCATGGCAACCGGTTGTTTCTCCATAACCCAAATGCTAATTAGGGATACCACACCCAACGGTCTGGGAGAAGAGGGAGAGGTTCATTTTCGAAAAGAAGACGCACCGTCCCCTCAACTTCTCAATCTCTAGAGCACTTACCCCATTATCTTTGGTGAATAAATCGCCCGCTTGATCTTCCATGTGAACCACAAATACAATTGAAAGTAGGGTGTTACTAACAGAACCCGTTGCAACATGTATATACTCCTCCATGCTTGGGATGCATCATTTGCATAGCGATCTAGCCTCATCAAAATAGGCTTAGGCAGTAGCTTTCCATTGTATTTGACAATGACATGTGTGAAAACTTAAACTTTGATAGTTAAACTAGTCCTAAAGAAAGTAAAGTTTAAATATAATTAAATTGCCTTTTTCTTTCTCTCCTTCCTTGAGAGACCTTATCTCCTCTGTGAGAGTTTTCTTCCCCTTTTGATGAGGGTCTTCATCTTGTCCACTTTCTCAGGCGTCGACTCTGGCTTTGGCTGGAGTCGATTGCCTCTTTTCCTTTTCTTCTTTTGTTTTCTTCTCTTCTCCCTTTCTCTACTGTGTTCTTCTCTTTTCCTTTTCTTCTTCTGATGCTTCTCCCTATTTTTCCCTCAGGCATGTCCTCTTCTTCATCTTCAGTCGATATTCCTCTCCCTATCCCTACCTCAGTCCAATCTTCAGCCATAGTTCCTTTGAGTTCGTGTGTAGAGCTGGGGTCTTGTTCCTGGCTCGGGAGTTTCCCACACCACCACATTCTCCTTATTGTTTGCTTTTTTCGGCAGTGTTGCTCGTGAGTTTCCCCCTAGCTTTTTCCCGGTAACTGGCTAATCCCTATTTGGTGCCAACTATTACCTGTTAATGGATGTGATCTGATTGCTGTTCGGGGTTGGCGGTGGTGTCTTAGATGCGTTGCTCAGTGGTGGATGACGTTTCCTATGGCTGGCCTGGATCTTTCTCGGTGGATAAGTTTTCAGTAGAAACTTCTCGATTGGCTGGTGGGTGTTTTTTTGGGTTTCACTGTTGTGGGGCCTCTTTCTTTTTTCTATTGGTTTCGGCCCTTTTCTATTTGTGTATATTTGTAGTTGGGCCTTTGGTTTGCTTGTACTTTTGGGCTTGTTGTTTTAATAAAAGTTGAGGGACTTTTGACTGTAATTTTGCTACAATCAAACTTTTTCAAAAAAAAAAAAAAAAACAAAAAAACAAAAAAAAAAAACAAGTAAAGTTCAATAGTTTGAGAAGAAAAAAGCTCTTTTAATACCCAAAAAGTGAAAACTAAAAACTAAATTTTGAAAACTCAAAAAGAAGCATTTAATTTTTCATTTTTTAGTGAACCCTGAACTCTAAACCTAAATCTAAACTAATCTAATTCTTCTCAAGTGGCCCTAAACTAATAAAAAAGAAGCTTTCATTTTTCATTGAGAATTGTACCTTATGCCCCCAATGGCATCGATGAGCCCAAAAATGATATTGGAAGCTCGAGATTTTTGGGGTTTATTGCCAATTGGACAACCACTAAAATATCTCATTCGTTACATTATCTTCCATGTGAACCACAAATACAGTTGAAAGTAAGGTGTTACCAACAGAACCTGTTGCAACGTGTATATACTCCTCCATGCTTGGGATGCATTGTTTGCAGAACCATCTAGCCTCATCAAAGTAGGCTTGGGCAGTAGCTTTCCACTGTATGTGACAATGACATGTGTGAAAACTTAAACTTTGATAGTTAAACTAGTCCTAAAGAAAGTAAAGTTCAAATATAATTAAATTGCCTTTTTTCTTTCTCTCCTTCCGTGAGAGACCTTATCTCCTCTGCAAGAGTTTTCTTCCCCTTTTGGTGAGGGTCTTCATCTTGCCCACCTTCTCAGGCGCTGACTCTGGCTTTGGCTGGAGTCAGTTGCCTCTTTTCCTTTTCTTCTTCTGTTTTCTTATTTTCTCCCATTCTTTGTTGTGTTCTTCTCTTTCCTTTTCTTCTTCTGTTTTATTCTTCTGATGCTTCTCCCTATTTTTCCTTCAGGCCTGTCTTCTTCTTCATCTTCCGTTGGTATTCCTTTCCCCATCCCTTCCTCAGTCCGATCTTCAACCGTTCCTTTTGAGTTCGTGTGTAGAGTTGGGGTGTTGGTCCTGGCTCGGGTGTTTCCCACACCATCATGTTCTCCTTATTGTCTGTTTTTTTTGGCAGTGTTACTCGTGAGTTTCCCCGAGCTTTTTCCCAGTAGCTGGCTAATCCCTCTTTGGTACCAACTATCACCTGTTAGTGCTGTGATCTGATTGCTGTTCAGGGTTGGCGGTGGTGTCTAAGATGACGTTACTCAATGGTGTATAACGTTTCCTGTGGCTGGCCTGGATCTTTGTCGGTGGAGGAGTTTTCAGCAGAAGCTTCTCGATTGGCTCTTGGGTGTTTTTTTGGGTTTCACTGTTGTGGGGCCTCCTTTTTTCTGTTGGTTTCGGCCCTTTTCTGTTTGTTTATAGTTGTAGTTGAGCCTTTGGTTTGCTTGTACTTTTAGGCTTCTCGTTTTAATAAAAGTTGAGGGAGTTTTGATTGTAATTTTGCTACAGTCAAAATTTTTCCAAAATAAAAATAAGAATAAAAAAAAACAAGTAAAGTTCAATAGTTTGAGAAGAAAAAAAACCAAAGCTCCTTTAATACTCATAAAGTGAAAACTAAATACTAAATTTGAAAACTCAAAAAGAAGCTTTTAATTTTCAGGTGGTGACTGCTTATGAGGTTAGGGATAAGCCCTCAACGTTGAAGGCAGAGGATTAGGACTGGGTTGTGGTGGTTTTCGTCTTGTTGAGATTTAGTAAGTGGAAATTTTCAGTTCTAAGGTTTTAATTGCACTAAGAAATTGTTATCTTGGTCATTGAGATTTTAGCTTTCTGAATTTCTTTTATGTGACTTTTGAAAGCGCATTCTAGCTGATATGTATTGTGTTGTTTGTGTATGTTGCCTTGTGATGCAGTTATGGGGTTTTTCATGCGATTCGAAGATGATAATGTGGAGTCAACAAAGATTGTGAACCCGTGGAATGTGAAGATCATCTTAGTTGGTTGGTAGAATTTATTTGATTTAATGTGCTACCCGTAAAAGTTCCACTGAATTATGCTTGTAGGAAAAAACAAATTAATTGTCTTAATTTGCTACTACGATGGAAAAAAAATTGTTCCCTTTAATTTATGCTTGTAGGAAAATCAGAATGATTCAACGTTAATGGTTTGTTAGACCCTTGGAACCATTATGCACACAAGTAGTTAATTAGTTACCCCTTCCTTTGTGCTTTAATTATCTTGATTTGTATCGCTACAATGAAATAGGATTGTTGTTATTTACCTGTAAGAATTTCACTGTATTTAATACGTATATTTACCAAAATAAAAGTACACGGGATGGGGGGAATTGCTCGTGAATTTCTGAGATTGGTCTTGATTGTATCATGGTTTGCACAAATTGGTTACATATGTTGTGAAGCCTACGTACCAAATAATTTTCACACACCGTATCATTATTTAGTACAGATGAGCAGAAACCAAAACCCCCCATTGAATTCCTTGGTTTTTGAACTCAATGCCTAATGGTAATCGTATTCTTCAAGTCGAAGATATAATCAGAACAAAAGACTGTTGTGATTCAGTCATTTTCCATCCAAATGCATACGACAAATAATTGTGGATATATTATTATGCTTAATTGCTTATCCTTCGCCAACATAGCAGAATCTGGAATGATCAACGGTTGCCCTGGATTTTATAAAGATGACGTGCCTACCAGTCAACAGAGGGTAGCCGTGCGCACTCTTGGCCTTCCAGAAGGACTGAAGAGAGAAAACACTAGGGTCTTATTAACTACATATGTGTCAATTCGTCGCAGTTGTTGGTATATGGCCTTCCCAAATTATCAACCACAAGAATCCTTTTAATCTTATCTTTGACTTGTATGAAACTGGTAGGCCGGGAACAAAACTTCCACGGGTCATGTTTGTTTTCTGCCTAATTAACACTGTACCAGGTTGATGTTTATTTTGTTCGCAACATTACACCCTCGCAATCTATCGTTGATGGAACCACATTAGTTTCAAGTGATGGAGGAAGCTTTGAGCATAAAAATTGGTAAAAAATAAGCGTGTAAATAGTATAACCTTGTAATATTGGATTTGGATCCTCTCCTGAGCCAATGGAGAGGATCGACCTGACCAATAATCGTGGGCCGTTTGATTTTTATTCAACGACTATAATTATTATAACTTTAAAGGAACCTCCTTATTTGTAACTGTTGGATAAAATCCAACGATCCACGATAGTTGGTCAGGAGGATCCTCTCCATTAGCTCAGGAGAGGATCCAAATCCTATAATATTTAGTTTGCTGCCGCCTATTGCATAGATGTTGTTGAAAATAGAATGCATAAAATGGGGTCCATGTGGTGCATTTATTAATTGATGTTTCACTTGTAAACTTGGTGGCAATTGGGTTTTGTTCCGCAATGAGTAATCTATGTTTCCACAATGTTGTGCTCTCTCTTTTTGAACAAAGTTGAGGTTGGAATAATCCATTACTTATAAGTATATGCAAGATCCGTTCTTTTCTTAATGTGAAATTTATAAAAAAAAGATAAAGTATAAAAAATATAAAACCAATTGGTTTCAACTGCTCGTTGGTTGAAGCTGACTGTTTACCTGAATTAGGACATGCTTCATGTGATTCCTTTCCATGAGGAAACTAGATTGTTTCGGCTGAGCCAAAGTAGTCTCACTTCCCAACTTTATAACCACAGACACTGTGCTTGGCCTATCGTCAGGATGATGTTGCGCACATAAGAGACCAATGTGGATGCAACGCAACACTTTCAATAGTGTGCCTGAGCTTCCTAAGCATGCATCAGTCAGTTCGAAAGAATTCCCTTCATTCCACAATCTCCATGCCCGAAACAAATCAAAATCCTTCGTCAATTACTGTTCCAATAAGAATGAAAATTCATGATACTTACATATTGACGAGGAATAGTAGTTTGGTTCGGGGGAAATACTATACGGCAATATTACGTGCCACTGCAAGGGAAATGGTCAATATGGAACAATAAGCACTCATCATAAACGAAAAACAAAGACCACCCATAAAAATTTTGTCCTTGAGCTCCCTGACTACTGATTTGATCAAGCAAAAGATTAGAAGCAGAAGGAAAAGATCTCTGTGGTTCATAATCATAACGATAAGACCATATACCAACAACCGTAAAGACCTCATACAGAAGATAATTTGGGAAGGCCCTGTGGTTTCATTCATCAGAAATAGAAGGGAGGGATCCATAATTACTACTAGTAATGAACTATGATCTTTACTAGCAGATCCAAGTTTAACCAAGTTGCTCAAGAACAGTGTGCTCCGCCCTCTCCATATTTTAGATGAATTTAGTGTAATTATCTTATCTCTTCTCCAAAAAAAAGGTGAAAGAAAATGAAAATTTCATACCTCCTCCTGGTTTCTTCTGGAACAAATTCACGTCATGCCACATATTTGTGCCACTATACCAGTCATTGATATCTGTTAAGGTAGATGAAAATCAACTCAAGGATCTACAGTTTTACTGCCTCAACTAAACTAAGAGACTTGAGCATTTTGGCTCAATTTTTTTTTTTTCAGATTTGAGCTCAACTGATTCTGAAATTTCAAAAGAGAGTAAAAAGTAGAAATTGGGGTTGGACTACTTACCGTTGGGAGTCGCAGATTGTCAAGACAGACAAAGGAAGCGGATTTGTTATTTCTTATGCGACATCCAAATACGAGATCATCACTGTAATCACCTGTTTGTTTTCACAATGATTGTGCTCTCTCTCTCCCTTGTTTGGTTATTTGGTTGCGGATAATTACACTATTGGGCAAGTCCAATTTGCACATGTTTCACAATGGTATGAGCCGTTAAGAAATGGAGTGTTCCTCCAAGGGTACAAGTCTGAGCCTCGAAATTTTGTACTCATACATTTACGCGTACTTGACAAGATTTAAATGAATTTTGGATGAATTTCATGTGACCCTAAACCTGACCTATAAGATTAAATTAACACATAACTTGTTCACTAAACCAAATAATTAACCACTAACCTGAAAAAATCATGCTTGCTAGGGTTGAAGTTAAGAGTCTTCTGCTACGCGCCAATCTCTGAATGCAACTACTCAGTTCTATGTAGCGTGAGGCACTTATATTGCATATCAACTGAGAGTGCAGGGACCCTTTATTTATACTGCATGCAGTGGTGATCAGTAAGACGATTCCCCTAATATCAATCCTTATCAAACTCAACCTTATCACTACTTTACCCAAGTGTTTATATCAGTAAGCACATCTATCAATATATATGTTTATCAGGAGTGTCAAAGCTACGAAACCTAAATGTACACACTCAAAAATAGCTTACAAACACTGTTACACTCAATCTCTATGATCCCAACCTTCAAACACACGTGAAACAAGTGTGCAGCTTTCTTAAGTCTTACATTCTCCCACTAGGGCTAACACTTGTTTATCACGTTATCTCCATATTCGTGATCATACTTAAATGGCCACGAGTTTGATCTCAACAAGATCCTGAGTTCATGTTTTTGTCATTACTGAGTATTCAGAGAGAACTAAAAGGATTTGCATTCAATCTTTATGAATACCATCCCATAATCACATCCGTGAAACTCAGTCAGACATAAAACACCATTATGATATGAACTACACCTAAATATGACTGGACATGTACTATAACACATTTAACATGTGGTCCTCTTCATGACTGCCCATTGCAGTCTTTCTTCATGCTTCGTATCAAAGACCTTTTGTTGCATCTTAAAACAAGAAGTTAAATTGTCATCCTGATATATACAATGTATATCATCATAACTAAACCTTAGGGAAAAACTTAATCAAACAACAGTAGTTAAGAAAATTCAATAACAGTGTCTCAATGCATAAACAAAGCCGTCTAGAAGAGGACATAACATGCAATTGCTCATGTCTTTTGGATGCTAGCAGTATATCATCCACATAAAGTATCATAAGTTGCTCCTATAGATTTTCAAATATATACAAGCATCAGATGGATTTTCTGCGAAGCCAGACAACACGATGAAACTTCAAGTACCATGCCTGTTTCAATCCATAAATGGATTTCTTAAACTTGCAAATCCTGTTTTCTCTCCCTTCCTCTTTTAATCCTTCTAGTTGCACCATGTAGATATCCTCTTCCAATTCACCATTCAAGGAAGTTGTCTTTACATCCATTTGATGTAAAAACAAGTTATTATTGCCATTACAACTCTGAAAGTATCCTTAGTAGATAGTTTCTTTATAATCAATTTCCTCTCTCTGAGTAAACCCCTTAGCCACCAATCTTGCCTTGTGTCTTTCTACATTACCTTTAAGTTCCTTTTGGTTTTAAATACCCACTTACAACCTATTAGTTTGACTTATTCACTCGGCTCTACAAGACTTCATACTTCATTTTACTCCAATGAAGAAAGCTCACTTTTCACAGCTTCCATCCACTTGTCTGCCTTTATTCTCGAAATAACTTCTTTTTAGTTATCTGGATCATCGAACTTTGACATATTGAATTCTGTTTCTGCCATATACACGAAGTCAGCTGAGTGTGTTGATTTTCTAACCCTAGTTGACTTTCTCCAGGGCACGAAATATTATTGACAACTTCAGCTTCTTGGTGTCCTCGCTGATCATTGTCATCTACAACTGCTGCTTCAATATTTGCTATAACCACTCTTGGTTGTTACTCTCCATGGGTTGATGCTTCAATTTCATTTCCTAAGTTCATGGCTCGATCATCATCAGTGTCACATTCTTTGCTTAGATCAGTGATCTCAACCTATGTTGTTGTAGGCTGATGATGATCCATTTCATTTTCTTCTCCATTCCCCATTTCTCCCTCTTCTTCAAAACAAAATCATTAGTTCTAATACTTGAATCAGTATCCATCTGTAACTCCAAGAATAATGCCTTTCTAGTTTCAACAATCTTCATGTTGTGATTAGGGCAATGGAATCGAAACTCGTTAGATCTCTCAGCATATCCCATGAAGTAACAAGAGTGTCTTGGGATCAAGTTTCTTGCCATTAGGGTTATAAATCTTGGCTTCGGCTTTTCATCCCCAAACATGTAAGCAATTTAGACTAGGTCTTTTA